AGCAGCGAGCGTGGGGCCAGCGGGCAAGTGTGGGGCCAGCGGCGCGCGCAAGGGCCAGCGGCTAGTGTGGGGCCAGCGGGCGAGCAAGGGGCCAGCGGGCGAGCAAGGGGCCAGCGGGGAGCGTGGCCAGCGGGCGAGCATGGGGCCACGGCGGGCAGCTAGCAACGGGGGCCAGCGGCGGGCAGCTAGCGACGAGTGGCTAGTGACCACGGCTAGTGACGGGCGGCTAGCGACGGGCGGCTGGCAACGGGCGGCTAGTGGCAGGCGGCTAGCAACGAGCAGCTAGCAGCTAGGGGTGGCCAGCGGCGGTGAGCGGGGCAGCGGCGAGCTAGGAGCCGCACAGCACGCTAAGGGGCGAGTTGGTGAGAGCGAGGGCTAGGGCTAGGGCGGAAGCGCGGGTGGGCAGGGAGGGCCTAACCTAGTGTGATACCATCTCAGAGTAATATGTTCACTAGAATCGAGGGTACAGGGTAGTTTTGTGCTAGTGTTACACTCTCTAAGAGCATTCGCCTATCTAGCCTATAATAACATATGCATATATGCTTGACAGTAGGTACCTCTCCAAGTCCTCCCAAACCCAGCCCATCCTTCAAGGTGTTCTGAAATTTTGAACACATGGTGTTCCAAACCTGATAATCTTTAGACCACTTGAAACACCTTCCATATCAACCTTCATCCCAGTGCACTTCACAGGGTGCCGGGCACGAGGGAAAGCCCAGGGCTGGCGAGGCAAGCTGGGTGCATCTGAGTGTAGGTGCGAGGGTGTATCTGGGTGCAACTGGATGTAGCTGGATGTAACTGGGTGTATGTAGGTGAAGCTGAGTGTAATTGAGTGTAGCTGGGTGTATTCGAGTGCAGCTGGGTGTATTTGAGTGCAGCTGGGTGTATTCGAGTGTAGCTGGGTGCATTTGAGTGCAGCTGGGTGCATTTCAGTGCAGCTGGGTGTATTTGAGTGTAGCTGGGTGTATTTGAGTGTAGCTGGATGTAGCTGGGTGTAGCTGGGTGCAGCTGGGTGCAGTCAAGGCGTGGGGAGGTGGAGCGAGGGGTTGGCAAGGGCGAGCAGGGAGGAAGCGAGGGCCACCCCTTGCACTGAGGGGCTCAACATGGGATGTTTGATGGCTGCTGTTGCCACCCACACCTGCTGCTCGTGCCTGGTGGGGCAGAGGTGGCCATTCATTGCAATGGACAGAGACATACAAAAGAATGAGAGACAGGAAAACACCGCTGGGTGCCTGCTGCCGCCCACACCTGCAGCTTGTGCCTGGTGGTGGGGGGATGCCAATGGGCAGATTAGGAACATGTGGAACAGGTGTGAAGGAAAGGGAAGAGAAACAATACCAGTACCGCACTCCTCCCCGACAACCACTTATCACAGTGCGCAACAGCCACGGACTCAGGCCCATGTTGACACCACGCACTCAAACCCAGCAGCGATGCTTGCACCAGCAGCGATGCTTGCACCATCAGCGATGCTTGCAGCGGCAGCGATGCTTGCACTGGCCGCAATGCTTGCAGCAGCAGAGCCAAAGAGGCGTGAAGAGTCACCTCTTTCTGCCCCCCTTACTCACCTCTTATCACATCGCACCACAGCAACAGTCTCGGTGGCACTGAGGTCGCACGAGAGCACCAGCAGAGACGCCTGGATGGCTGCTGCGCCAAGTGAGCCAAAGAGGGTCAGAAGCGAGTCTGCCATAAGCCGCTCAAACAGCTCCTTCTGCACCCCCCTCTGCTGCCGCGCCTGCTGCTGCCCTGCCTTCTGTTCAGATCCCCTTTCCCCGGCTGCTGCTGGCGGTTCAGAGTAACAAGACGCAAGCAATGCAGGGAGCGATAGTAAGGCACGGTAGCCGACGCAAAGAGAAAGAGGTGTTGGGCTGAGAAAAAGCCCTTAGGATCTTTCCAGAGACTGAGTCCCAGTTGTAAGAGATGCTTGAGTAATGCAGCGGAAGTTGAGTAGTTGAACCCTTGCACTAGTATGTGAGAGCAAGTGATTGATTAAAGGAAACAAGCATACAGCAATATATAGAAGATAGGAAAGTAAAGCAGTTGTAGAATACAGTTGAAGAACGGTTATGGAGTCGCACAGCGACTCGATGGTCGATTCGGTTACCACCCTTGCAATTGTAACGGTCAGTCGCAACCTCCGGTTCCGACCCTTTGAGTCTTTCGTCCTTTCGTGTTCTTTCGTCCAACCTCCTCGTGCAACCTCCGTTGACTCGTATACTCGATACGGCTTCACTCGAGTGTGGTGTTACACTTCAGAAACGCTTAAGTCCTTGAGGTATTTCCAACACTCCCCTTCGTTTCTGGAGTGCTGACGTGTTCAGATTCGGTGACGTTTATCTGCCCGGTCAGCAGCATGCAGTAATCGAACTTTGCCTTCGCCAGTTTCTTCGTCAGGTAGTCTGCGGCCATTTCCGTCGTGGGGCAGTAACCGAGTTGAAGTCTCCCCTTCGCGATTTCATCCTTGACGAAGAAATACCGCAGGGCGATGTGCTTGGTTCGGTTGGCGAAACCGTCTTTGTTCGCGATTTTGATCGCGGATTGGCTATCACAGAAGAGTGAGATGAAGGGCAGGGTTGTAATCTTTGCTTCCTCGAGCAACTCTCGCAGGTAGAGTCCTTCCTTGGTTGCAGTGCAGAGGGCGATATATTCTGCTTCGGCCGAAGATAGTGCGATTAGTTCCTGTTTGCTCGACTGCTAGGAGATAGTCCTGATAGGCTCTAGTCGGTAGATGTAGCCCGTCCTTGAGCGTCGATTTTCCCTGTCTTCTGCGTGGTCGGCGTCGACGTATCCAAGTAGTTGTACGGACGATGTCGTTGCTTTACTGTAGGTAAGTCCAGTCGTCGGCGTAGAGACGAAGTAGAGTAGTGCCCGATTTAGTTCCTCGAGATCTTCTTGTTCCGGATGCTTTAGATGCGTCGCCAGTTGGCTCGCGCTGTAAGATAGGTCCGGTCGGCAAGTTACTACTGCGAATAGTAGGCAGCCGAGCTTCTGCTGATACTCCTGGGTTTGCTTCGCGGGGAGTTTTGCGGAGGTATCGTTGCTGTTCCCGTAGCGGTAGGGAGTCGTAACTGTAGTCGGCGTTAGTCCGAATTTCTTCGCGACAACGCCTGCGTACTTCCCAGAGTGTAGGTAGAATGCCGAGTTGTCTTCGACGATGTTCAGACCCAGGTATTGGGTCACGGTGTTAGACACCGTGAGTGTCAAGTCACTTCTCAGCTCCCCTTCGAACCAGGTGGCGATGTCGGTAGTGGAGCTGATGTAGAGCAGGTCGTCGACGTAGACGATGAGTAGGATAAAACCCCTTTCCTTCTGTAGTCGGTACATGCCTTGGTCGTGCGGCAGCTGTAGGAAGCCAATCCTGACGAGGCGGCCGTGAAGGTGCTGCTGCCAAAACTGCGGGGCTTGTTTGATCCCGTAGAGGGATTTTATCAGCTGGCACACTTTTGTGGGGTCGTCGATGAATCCGTGGGGTTGCTCGATGAAGATCTCGGCATCCACCGGTGCGTACAGGAAGGCGTTTGCAACGTCGATTTGGTGTAGTGGTAGTTTCTTCGTGGCCGCGACGCCGAGTAGGATGCGCAAAGAGGTGTGATGGGAGACTGGGGCGAATGTCTCTGTGTAGTCGGTTCCGTATCGCTGATCGAATCCCCGTACGACCCAGCGAGCCTTGAATCGTTCGATGGAGCCGTCCGCATTAGTCTTCATGCGGTACACCCATTTTCCCGAGAGCACATTTTTTCCGCAGGTTTTTGTTGCAGGTACCAGCTTCCACGTGTTTCGGTCTTGGAGGGCCTTTAGTTCTTTTTCCATTGCTTCCTTCCATTTCGCCTTGTGTTCCCCCCCCAGAGCCTGCGACAGAGTCGTTGGCTCGCGCGGAGACGGCGGCGGCGGGTGCTGGACGGAGACCCATAATCCGAGTATCTGCAGGCCCGTGGGTGTGTGTCGAGGGGAATTTTCATTCTCGGGATAGGCTGCTTTGTCACCATCTTCTGGATCAGGTAAGAAGTTTGGGCCGATGCGTTCTGAGACATTCGTGTCGACAGGTTGAGGTGTAACGTAACCTTGGTCAGCGAAGTGGTAATGGGTGTCGAGGCTATTACTATCAAGGGGATTGTTGTCGTCGAGTGGAACAGGCACGGAACAGTAAGGGAGTGGTCCGGCAGTTTCCGAAGCTCCATGTACGTCTTCTTCTGCTGCGTCAGCCTCGGCAGAACGGTCGGCGAAGGACCGAAGGCCCTCGAAGCCATTCGCGGGGACTTCTGTGTTTGCAATGTTGTCCAGGTAATGCTGCAGCGTCAGTCGTTCGTAGAAAATCACATCACGTGAGGCCACGGTGTTTTTGTCTTGTATGTCGAGAAGTTTCCATGCATGGAAATGTTTTGCGATGCCGAGGTGTAGTCCCCATCGTGCTCGTTGAGAGAATCGTCTTGCGCGTGCTGTGTGGGGTCTGTACTGTACCATACAGTCAAAGACTCGAAGTAATTTTGTGCTGCCCTGTTTTCCCGTCCACAGCAGGTGCGATGATGCGTTGTTGGGAAGTGATGACGAGGACAACAAATTGTGCAGGTGAACTGCATGGGTCATCGCGTCAGGCTAAAGCGTGTTGGGCAGTCTCATCCCCAGGAACAGCTTCCGCATTGTCGTCTGCAAGGTCCGGTTCATTCTTTCTGCGACCCCCTGCTGCTGGTGAGCGTAGGGCAAAGACACCAGGCGTCTGATTCCTCTTTCCGCCAAGTAGTTCCTGAATCGTTGTGACTGGTATTCCAGTGCGCCGTCTGACTGGAAGCTCTTGAGTTGAGTTCCTGATTCTCGTTCAGCGATGGGGAGCCACGTCGTGAAGGCTTCGAATGCTTGATCGCGTGTCTTGAGGCTGTAGTGCCAGACGTATCTTGTTGCTGCGTCGATGAACGTGATGACATAGTTGAAGTCTGCTTCACTGTCGTCTCGCGGCATATTTAAGATGTCGCTGTAACCTTTTTCCATCGGTGCGTATGCAGGTGCACTTGGATTGTGATGCGACGGAAAGGGTTGGTGTGGAAGATCGGCTTCAGGACACGTGAAGCATCTGGCGCGAGGTCGTCGAAGCTCTTGTCCGCTCGTTGTGAGGAGAGCGTCCTTTTCTAATACTCCAGCTTGGATTGTTTGTAGAACTGTACTGTTTGCAGGGTGACCGAGGCGTTGGTGCCAGATGTCGTCGGGAGCGCGATGGCCGGGGGAGCGCTGATACAAGCTGGTATTGGAGAAGAACGCGACGACTGTTGCGGGACTGCGGCAAACTCTTCGAGCGTTTGGCATGAGTTGGTCTGCTTCAGTTGGTGGCCCTCGGACTGCTGGTGATGGCACACGACTAGGTCCTGCTGCTGCTACTGAAGGTGATGTTGCGGGTGGGACACTTGCTGGTACGTGTCTTTCTTGTCGTATGACTGCTAACGCTCGGGTCCTTTCTGCTGCAGGTATTGTGTTGGAGTACCAGAAACCATCTGGGGTAAAGCCAGGGTCAAGATCCGGCGGGTGCGTCCATGCGGCGAACGACACGATGCCATCGCTGTCGGCAGTACCGCGGTCGGGGACGAAATCCAACGCGAAGACGCCTGACTCCAGGAGAGCGCGACCGATGAAAAGACCGCCCTTCCCGTGGTAAAGGCGAAATTCGTTGCAGTCCAAGTCGCATTCCAGGTGAATCCCTTTTGCCATTAACAAGCTGACGCTGAGTAAGTTGTATCCCAAGTTGTCGACGATTAGAACTTTGTTGACTTGCAGTATGACGTTTGTCTCCATTGACTGAAGCTGAACGACGCCTTGTCTGTTTGTTTTCAGATTCTCGTTGTTGGCGACGGTGATGATGACATCACGGTTGAGACGTCGCTCTCGTTGCACGAAGCGCCCGGAAGAACACATATGTTGGCCGCAACAGCTGTCCAAGAACCAAGTGTTTCGCCCGGTGGGTTCGGCGTTGGCGACTGCAGCGTACGTTGGGTTGACCTGAAGTCCTTGTGAGCGCGGCGGCGACAGTTCTTCTTTGTCTAGAGCGTAAGTGGGTGGTGATCCGGGTGCGCAGTTGTCTAAGTGTACCATGCAATTGATGATGTTCGGTGTGCCTTGTGCAGATGTGGAGGAACGCCTCGGCGGGCTTTCTTGAGTGGAAGCGACTTGTGGGTCTACTGGACGATAAGCTCGGGGGTGTGTGCAGTTGACTTTGGAGTGTCCGGATGTTTGACAGTTGTGGCAGAACGGTGGCACAATGGTGAGTCCTCTGTTGTCGCGTTGATCTTGCTTGCCGCGTCATTTGTAGTTGTTGTCGTTTCTTCGTTGAGTGTAGAAAACTAACGGTTGCTGTTTCCTTGGTTGTCTTTCTTCAAATAGGTCCATCTCCTGTTGTTCAGCATGAAGCTCGGCGCAGAGGTGCATCTCCGAGATTCGTCCGTGGGCGCGAAGAAGCAAGCGGGTAGTTCTCAATTCTGGCCCGAGCCCAGCGAGGACAAGTGTCACGAAGCTTTCTTCAGTGATTGTACCTCCGCACCGAAGCAGGCGGTCGCGGAGTGTCTGGCAGTGACTCATATACTGCATCGCTTTTTCCCCGGTCTTCATCTGTATTGTTGTCAGCTGCTGCATGCGTCTGCTTTGTGTCACGCTGTCGTTTGCTTGATAGAGACACTTCAGGTGATGCCATGCGAGTTCCGCGGAGTTTCCATAGCTCCGATACGTTCTGATGCTTTGCTGTTCTTGTGGTGACAGGTTCCGCAGGAGAACTGTGTACGCCAGCAGCGACTGATACGTGAAAAATTCTTGCTCTTTTGCAGTGCCATTGCTTGGAAATGGCAGGGACCCGTTGAAGTATCCCAAGAGGTGCGCGGCCTCCATCAGCAGCTCGAACTCAAAACTCCAGGTAAAGAAGTCGTGTCCGTTGAACGGTGAGGATGTCTGCAGTTTGATCACGTGTGAAAACTGCGCTTGGAGACTCAATAATTCGTTTGGTGTCTGTTGTGATGCAGCTGCTGTTGGCTGGGGACGGGGCGGCATGAACTCGAACGTCCCCGGTGAAGAGTGATAAGGCGCAAAGGTAGGCGCTTGATTGTGTCGCCCGAACGATGAGTTGTCGAGGCTCATCGGCGCTAATCCCAAGTTTCCTCCGTTGCTTTGTATTGAATGCGCAGGTGTCCTTGTCTGCTGCTGCTGGTCAAAGTGTGACATGAAGCTGAAGAACCTTTCCATAAGGTTCGGGTCCACGCTTGAAGAGGGTGATGGGGTCACCATTTCTGGTGCTCTTCCAGTTGTTTCTTGAGCAGCGCCGGTCTCGGTTTGCAGTCCTGAAGTGTGCAGTCCAGAGTTACCGGGTTGAGTGTCTTGGGCACTGGGTGAGCCCGTAGAGGTTTTCTTGCCTTTGCTGTCCATGAGTTGTAATCAATGAAGTCGTTGGTGTGCTGATTGATGGAGCGTTGTTGCTGGGAGTTTGGTCTCTGACCAGCTCTCATACCATGTTGGGCTGAGAAAATGCCCTTAGGATCTTTCCAGAGACTGAGTCCCAGTTGTAAGAGATGCTTGAGTAATGCAACGGAATTTGAGTAGTTGAACCCTTGCACTAGTATGTGAGAGCAAGTGATTGATTTAAGGAAACAAGCATACAGCAATATATAGAAGATAGGAAAGTAAAGCAGTTGTAGAATACAGTTGAAGAACGGTTATCGAGTCGCACAGCGACTCGATGGTCGATTCGGTTACCACCCTTGCAATTGTAACGGTCAGTCGCAACCTCCGGTTCCGACCCTTTGAGTCTTTCGTCCTTTCGTGTTCTTTCGTCCAACCTCCTCGTGTAACCTCCGTTGACTCGTATACTCGATACGGCTTCACTCTAGTGTGGTGTTACACTTCAGAAACGCTTAAGTCCTTGAGGTATTTCCAACAAGAGGCAATTACCCCCGTTGAATTTCAGGATGGCAAGACACAAAGCGCATGGAAGCTGCTCAGGCACAGAGTGTGTATGGCTTTTGAGGCGCCTCAAAGGTCACCTCAAAATCTGAGGCGCTTCAGAAGACAGTAATCCAGGTTACTCAACAACCTGGAAAGGTGTGTGTATGCCTGACTTGAATGGTTCAAAATACCCAAATACCACACCAGAGTATTGCATTCTCTAATCGAACTTATACGAAACAAAGAGCGTGTTACAAGTGGGCTGAATTGGAGAAGGGTCCTGTGCGTTCAGATGCGGTAAATTGAGGAAACAATGAGACACGCACAGGACCCTTCTCTAGTGCCACTATACCTCTCTCTGTTGTCGGGTGACGTCGTTTCGCTTACACATGTTACACGCCGTCGCACACACGGCTGACATTCCGCGGCGCGAGCATCCATCAAGCCTCGGCTGTGCAGTGCATGGCACGCCATAGCTTTCATTTTCAAGCAGAGACGTTCCGTGGTGGCTGAGGATCTGTCAATTCCAACACAATTATTTGTTTGCTCGGAAAACGTACATTCTTGCGCGACGTTCTGTCCGGGAGGCGCGAGGTAATTGCTGTCTTGCGCAGCGTTCTGTTCCCGCTTCATTCCGGCTCCATTCGACGAGCCCTCTTTCTCGACATATAAATTTCAAAGTGCGAGGTCAGTATTGTGCCAGCGTCGCCTCGCCTGTCCCATCACCTTGTTTGCGACCATCTCCTGAAGATTACTAGCTTCGTCGGAACTTGATTCGAGCTCGATCGGAATCTCTCGCCAGTCGATGATCCCACTTACCCATCCAACACCATCTGCTCAGCTGCTGCTGCTGCTGCAGTCAGTCAGTCAGTCTTACTCATTTCTGGCCTCATCCTCTGAGCAATCAGAGAAACTACTAGCGAGTTAGCTAGTAGCGAGCTAGCAGATCCATGGAGGTCGTGCAATTCTCCAGATCCCTTCACACGGCCATCGGCGAGATGCTCGATCACAGAGATCTGCTGGAAGAGGGTACCATCGTGCCTTTTGGTAGTGCTGACCGTGCTAGTAGTACTAATAGTAGTAGACGTGCCGCAGCACCATCAGCAGCTGCGAACTACCCATTCTCTCACAGCGTGTCGAATCACCATCAGCATTCTCAGTCGCTTTTGAATCAGCCCAGCTCACCGCTAGATGCGGCCGGGTTACCAGCGGCTTTCCTGCTATTCGACAAACGAGCCAAGCACGCGTCTCACACGCGAGATCACGCCGCGAGACATGGCGGCACGGCGATCGACGTCGCATGCTCACCGCACCAGTCGGTCGCGACTCTTCCACACTCAGCGGATCGCAAGCCGTTACCACATTGTCGCTCGTTTCGCGTGTCGCCTCTCGTCGTCTGCTGGCGGAAGCTGCTGGAACTGGCGATGCTGGGCCGAGCGCTGGGCCACGTGCTCGAGAGAACCGTCGCGGTCAGCGGCTTGTATCGGCAGCTCGCGCGGAGTCGATTGCTCGGGCCGAAACCGATGATGGCCAAGGGCTTGCCGTTTTGACGCAACAGATCTAAACCCGCTCTAGATTCCAGAAGGCGGCAAATAGAGCACGCAAAAGCGCCTATTTTCAGCGTGAAGTGCCTATTTCGGAGCCTCAAAATAAATCACGTTTTTCCAGCGCTAGAAATGGTAGTTTTTAGTCAAGCAGAGCCACTGGCCGTGGCAGCTTCCAGGGGAGAGTATAAGTGGCCGAACTTTGCATGTCTACTGTGTCTGAAGCAAGCTCATTTTCACGCTATTGCTCTGTGCATGAAGAACACTGGAATCACATGGCACAGAGCTCCGACCCTGAGCACGGCAACACACACACGCCCACTGCAACACACACACACCCACTGCAACACACACACGCCCACTGCAACACACACACACCCACTGCAACACACACACACCCACTGCAACACACACACACCCACTGCAACACACACACGCCCACTGCAACACACACACACCCACTGCAACACACACACACCCACTGCAACACACACACGCCCACTGCAACACACACACGCCCACTGCAACACACACACGCCCACTGCAACACACACACGCCCACTGCAACACACACACGCCCACTGCAACACACACACGCCCACTGCAACACACACACGCCCACTGCAACACACACACGCCCACTGCAACACACACACGCCCACTGCAACACACACACACCCACTGCAACACACACACGCCCACTGCAACACACACACGCCCACTGCAACACACACACGCCCACTGCAACACACACACGCCCACTGCAACACACACACACCCACTGCAACACACACACGCCCACTGCAACACACACACGCCCACTGCAACACACACACGCCCACTGCAACACACACACGCCCACTGCAACACACACACGCCCACTGCAACACACACACGCCCACTGCAACACACACACACCCACTGCAACACACACACGCCCACTGCAACACACACACGCCCACTGCAACACACACACACCCACTGCAACACACACACACCCACTGCAACACACACACGCCCACTGCAACACACACACGCCCACTGCAACACACACACGCCCACTGCAACACACACACACCCACTGCAACACACACACGCCCACTGCAACACACACACGCCCACTGCAACACACACGCTATCACACACGCGCACTCACACATGCGCAATCACACACGCGCATGGCATGCAGGGCTCTTCGAGAGAGAAATCGCTACAAAACTGGCACTGATTGATGTGAGTGAGTGACTGTCCTGCAGGTTACTATGTCCTGTTCATTCAACATAAGTAAACCTAGTACCAGCAGCCCCTCCTCCTCGGGTGTGCTCCACCGCACCATGTTGGAAGCAAGCAGCACCCATCTTGTCAAGCATCCTCAGGGTCACCCTCAGCTTTCCGTTTTCTACTCGAAGGCGCCTCACTACCTGCTGCATCCTCCGCTCCCTTCTCCCCTTCCCCCCCCTTGCCAGTCCCCTCCCCCTCCTCCCCTTTCTCCTCGCCGTTCCCCCTTTCTCTCTCCGCCACCTTCTTCTTCCAGAAGGCCGCCAGCCTGTCACACGCCACCGACAGCTGCTCAGGCGGCATGGCGGCGTAACACACCCGAAAGAACCCCGGCTCGCCGTAGTGGCATGCCTCACCTGCATATAGTGAGGCATGGGGTGTTAGGCATGGGGTGTTAGGCATGGGGAGTTAGGCATGGGGTGTTAGGCATGGGGGAAGGATGCAGTGCGTGGGTATTCAGCATGGCGGCGTAGCACACCCGGAAGAACCCCGGCTCGCTGAAGTGGCATGACTCACCTGGTTGTGTGGCATGGGAAAACAGGATGCATGGGTAAAGGATGGAGCATGTATGGTAGTGAGTTCGGCAGCGTCGCAAACTAGGACGAACCCGGTTCTCTGTAATGGCATGCATCACCTGCTTGTGTGGCATGGGGTAAAGGGCGTGAGGCATGGGGCATGGGGCATGGGGCATGGGGCATGGGGCATGGGGCATGGGGCATGGGGCATGGGGCATGGGGCATGGGGCACAGGAGATGAGGTATGGAGCAAGGCACGCACGAATTATATGAACCGCATGGTGTGCTGCATGCCACAACTACCGAGCTGACTGAAGAGATCGTTCGACTTCAGGGCTCTACCCTACCTTGAACCCTGGTGCCTGGCACCCAACAAATGTCTTGCCTCGCGTTCCATAGGAGTCGAGTCTTAGGGCGCCACAAAATCCACACGTGCATGTTAGAGATAGGCTGCAATTCGGTTGGCACAACTTTGTGTGTTGGCACTTTGTTGGTTTTAGGGATACGCATATTTGATAGGTTGGGTGTAGCTATGCTTTCATCCCCAACCTATCCCAACCCAATCTATCCCAAATCCCCACGATTTGGGAGGATTCCCTTGGGATTCCCTCCGATTCTCCCTTATCCCTTCCCATCCTCTCCGATGCTAGGTACTTAAGGATGTATGCTCTTGCTCATTCCATCAATGAAGTTCTCAGTTTCTGACAGTGCAACCTTACCTCGCACACTTTAAGAGCCTTGCCCGGGGTGGTGACGATGTTGCACGTGTCAGGGATGTCCTGCCATATCCGCCGCTTGGTTTCAAAGGTGGGCCCGCCGTGGTGGCAGTGTCACCTAGCAGCATTGGTGGGGGCCTCGCATCCTGTGCGACCAAACGTACCTAGCTACAACACCATACCCAGCGTCATGACGATCTTGCACGTGTCGAGGATCTCCCGCCATATCCGCCGCTCGGCCTCAAAGGTGGGTTGGGCGAGAATGGGGTCAGCAACCATATCTGCTGACCGTACCTAGCGTAATTCGAGCCTTACCCGGTGTAATAACGATCTTGCACGTGTCGAGAATCTCCCGCCACAGCAGCCGCTCGGCCTCAAAGGTGGGGAGGGCGAGGATGGAGCGCAGGTCGAGCCAGCAGAACATGGCGGCGCAGGCTGGTTGATAGTGCATCCCTGCTGCCTCGAACGCTGATGTCAGCAGGTCGTACGACACCTTGAGGCGCCTGGTGGGGAATAAGGAGTGTTGGGAGTGGGGGGGAGGGGGGAGGGAGGAAGATGAGCGGAAGAGAAAGAAGAAGGTGGGGATATGGGAGGAGGGTGGAACAGAAGTGAGGGAGAGAAGGTAAGAGGGGGAGGAAAGGGGAGAGGGAGGAAGAGGGGAGGGCGAGGATGGAGCGCAGGTGGAGCCAGCAGAACATGGCGGCGCACACCGGCTGGTACTGCATGCCCGCTGCCTGGAATGCTGAAGTCAGCAGGTCGTACGACACCTTGAGCTGCCTGGTGGGCTCAAGGGGAAAGATAAGGGGAGGGGAGGGCAGGCCAAAAGATGAAACAAGAGGGGATTAAAAACTATTCCTCATGAGATTGTGGGCCCAAAACGGATAAAAAATATTTTGTTGGATCGCATTTCCTTATAAATATTGAAGTCGATATAGTGGGCCATCTTGGAGGGCGAGAAATTATTGTTCTCTTCCTTCCAAGTATTGTTTTAGAGGTTCATGTGTGAGAAGAAGGCCGGTAGAGGACGAGGGGCAGAGGGAAAGGCAGGGAGCTGAGGCATATCAGCAAATCGCTGCACCTCCCATGAAAGCTCCACCAGTGCTTTTGAGTCGACTCAAACGCAGGTTCACAAGCGCCTGACTCCAGATGAGAAGATTCCGTGGAATGAGCGAGCACCAGCGTGTAACTGAGTGCGAGCGTGAGTGTGTGTGTGTGGGACTGTGAGCAAGTGAGTGGCCTCGCCCCTTGCCGCTTGTTCTCGGACACAAATAAGTCCACCAACTTATAATCTCCCTGCATCATAGACAGGGCGTGCTGCGTGTGTGAGTGAGTGAGTGCAGGTGAGCGGGGAGTGTCGGCGTGGCAGGAACCTATGTCCAGGCCGTTCGTCGGCGGCTGGCAAACTTGGAAGCAGCGGGTGGCGCGGAGCCAAGGGAGGCGACGAGTGCTGGAGTTGCTGGAGAGGACGTGGAGGGTGACTCCAGTTATACCCTCTCGGGTGATGGGGTTTCCGATTCAAGGACTGGGGAGGACGTGGGTGAGGAGAGTGGGGGTTCCCAGATCCCGTTCCAACGCTCGCCGAGCCGCCCCGAACCAGCGCCCAACCAGTGGCGAAAATTTCCCCGCCACTGACGAAGATTTCTCTTCGTCAGCTGCGCTCGCGGCTCGGTACGATTTGTTCGCCCACATTATGGATTGGAATCTAAACATCCTACGCGACAGTCGCCAGCCACCCCTGGCTCGCCGCGCACCCCGCCACATCCGTGACGAATTTGCTGCATGTCTGCTTCCCCCCCTCCTCCGAGTGGCGGACGATTCAGAATCTCCGCCAGCGTGGAGGCTTCTGTTCTTCCTGCCACGTCTGGCCCTCCGCATTGGCTCCACGCGCAAGCCTGATTGGAACGCCGTCCAGAAACGGCTGGAGTCTTTCCGGCGTGGTTCCTGGCCGGACCTATACGCCGAAGCTGTGGCTGCCGTAGATCTCCCCCATCCCGCGTGCCATGCTCCTGACAATACGGGCCTGATCGTTCGGGCTGAAGGCCTGGCCAAGCGTGGGAACCTTGGCAAGGCTCTCGAGGCCCTTGAAGCGACACCTGTCAGCCCTTCCTCGGCAGAGACTCTCGCCGCTCTCCACTCACGCCACCCACTCGCCTCACTCGCCCTCCCTGACTGGGTTCTCTCACACACCTTGGAGTGGAACCCCTCTATCAGCGCCAAACATTTTCGACGCCTTTTGTCACAGCTCCCTAATGGTGTAGGAGCCGGTCCCTCGAGGACTACCTTCGAGCTCTTGCATGACACGACCCTCACCAATACCGACATCTGCCAGCATCTCCACACGCTCACCAACACGGCCCTCGCCGGCAAGCTCGGTCCTGAAGCCACTTCCCTTCTCACGGCATCGCGGCTGCTCGCCTTTTCCAAACCTGGTGGTGGCACCCGCCCCATCGCCATCGGCGAATGCCGGCACCGCATCGTCGCCAAGGCTGCCCTGTTCCTCGTTACTGCCCCCGCCCACCTCCAATTCGCGCCGATTCAGTTTGGCGTCGCCATCCCCGGGGGTGGGGAGGGTATCATCAACGTCACCCGCGTCTACCTCGACTCGACTCGCACACCGGTCACATCGCGCTGCAGATTGACGTCGCCAACGCGTTCAATGCCATCGAACGCGCGGCAGTCTTCAAGGGCCTTTGGGGGACGGAACTCGAGTTCCTAATCCCCTTCATCCGCTTCTCCTATGGCGCGCCCTCGACTCTCTGCATCGACCGTGGCTTCGAGGCGGAGTCCCTAACCAGCGCGCGTGGCATGCGGCAAGGCGACCCCATGGGCCCCCTCCTCATTGCCGCCGGCCTTCACCCCAGCCTCGCCGCCACGGCAGCCTCCTTCCCCGCCACGCTTACGCTGACGACGTCACGCTGCTGGGTCCGCCGGCCGCCTGCACTGCCGCCTTTGATCACCTCACCGCCGCCATTGCTGGGTGCGGGCTCTGTCACAACCCTGCAAAGTGCGACGCATGGGGCCCAGCGCTTACCTCTGACACGGAGCTTCCAGCCGGCGTCACCTTGAGCACTGCGGGGCTCAAGGTTCTGGGGAGCCCTCTGAGCCCGCCTGCCGCCTGCTCTGCCGCCCTCCGCGCCCGCCTCTCGTCTGCCGCCGCTCCGCAGCCGCTGCACGCGGACATGGACCCCCAGCTGTCCCTGTAGCTTCTCACCCGCTGCATCTCCCGCCGCGTGGCTTACCTGCTGCGCTCCACGCTGCTCGAGCTGCTTCCCCTGGACGAGTGGGATGCTTGGGGGGAGAGCCTCTTTCACGCGGCCCTGTCGGCAAGTCATCTGCCGTTGCCGCGGGGTGGCCACGAGCGCAGGCGCGTGTGGGACCAGGCGTCCCTCCCAAACACCCTCGGCGGGCTCGGCATCACCAACCCTGCTGCGGAGGCGGCGTCGAGCTACCTGACCTCTGTCGCCGCTTCCGCCCACCTCCTGGGCAGCCTTCCTTCGCTACCCAGTGCCATCTCCAACTTGCTGGGGCAGTTCAACCCCGATCCCCCCGGCCCCACGCCTTTCCCCCGCCGCCTCGCCATTCTCCAGAGCTCCCTGCCGCCTTCTGCGGCGGATCTTCTGCGCCACGAGCGCACCTCTCCAGACCCGCCCAAGCTTCAGCGGGTGCTGGCGCTGCAGGTGCAGGCGGAGCGTTTCACGCTCCAGCTGGAGCAGGCTCGCTGCATGCCACTCAACCCACTCCAGGGGCAGGCGACTGGCTGCACGCCATCCCCTTCTCGTCCTCCCTCGCCTCGGCCCTGGACACTTCTCCACCGCCGTGGCATTCCGCCTGGGGCTCCCTCACTCCACCCCGGGTGTCTGTGACTGCGCCGACCGTACCAACATCGACGATCCCTGCCTTCCCAACCACCTCCTGAGGTGCGCTAAGGGGCCGGGTCGGACGAGTGCGCACCACGCCCTGCGGGATGAATGCGCTCGGATAGCCATCGAGGCGGGGTTCATTACACGGAAGGAGACCAATCTCTTTACGCGGGTCTCCAATCTTTGGACAGACGTCGCCATCCGCCACCCGGACTCGGGGGCAGTGTGGCTGTGTGACGTCACTCTGACTGATCCCATCTCCCAAGACGATCCATTGGCTCGTAAGGGGACTGGCTGGGTGGCTCGAGTGGCAGCCCGGGGGAAGGAAAACAAGTACCGCCCCCCGGCCTGTGCGGAGTGGGTTGGCATTTTTGCAATGGCAGCAGAGACGTATGGCTGCTCTTCGCCCGGCGTCTTCGGCTTTCTCAAGCAGTGCGCCGAGTTGGCGGCACGCAAGGACCACCAGGCGGCTCCCACCTCCCGGGAGGCCGCAAAGCTGTTCCACGAGTACCGCCAGCGATGGTCGGTTACTCTGCAGCGGGCCCAAGCCGTGGCCCTCAACACGAAGATCAACAAGGCTCTCGCCGCTGAGGAGCAGCCCTGGGGTGAGCCGGCGGCTCCGCTCCCTGTGGGGGACCTGTTGCATGTGTTAGAGCCAGTGCTGGGGGACCCTTAAGGTCCCCTGGCCTGGGATTGTTAGGTCTCACCTGTTGTGCGCTGTCTGCTGCCATGCCTGTACCCTACCCTGCCTAATACAAAGGACCAATTGAGTGACTTCAGGGAAGTCTGAGCGAACAAGTAGATGGCCTTGCTCACCTTTAGTTCTCGGACACATTTGAGTGAACAAACGCGTCATCTACCAGCATGACAGATAGAGCATGCTGCGTGCCGGGAAGTCTGAGCAAACCGTTGAGTGCGCTGGTGCTCACCGTTTGTTCTCGGACACGTAGGAGTCGACGAACTTGTCGTCCTCCAGCATCACAGACAGCGCGTGCTGCGTGTCGTTGGACACCGCTGCAAACATGCCGATGTTCTGCCAGAACTGCAATTGGGAGGTGCAGAACGGGCAGGATGGGCAGGATGGGCAATAAACAAGAAAGGTATGTGGATGCCGTTGCGAACAAGAAAGGCGGTATGTGGAAACGTGTTTCCGCCAGAGCAGCAAGCAGGAGGGGCAGGAGGGGCAGGATGGGCAGGAGGGGAAGGGTGGGCAGGAGGGGCAGGAGGGGCGCAGAAAAACGAGGAGGTAGAGGGACGTGATGCTGGGGTACTCGCTTGCTGCTGTGGGGCGCACAAGGAATGGCGGTGTTTGGGATGATGCTGTGCCATGCTGTGGTGTGCTGTGGTGTGCTGTGGTGTGCTGTGGTGTGCTGTGGTGTGCTGTGGTGTGCTGTGGTGTGCTGTGTGCTATGCTTCTCTGTGCTGGTGATAGTGGAGTATGGGAAGAGAGGGGATGGTGGGGGGAGAGGAGATATGGCAAAGCCCCCTTAGAGGAAGCAGGCATTCAAAGAAAGCAACCCAGCAGCTCACGGCCAGCAGCTGCTTGTTCTTGGTGTGCAGGCACCCCACGCGGAACCCGTTCATGCCAAAGTCCTTGCTCATGCCGTACGCCGTGTGCACCCGCTCCTCCGCCAGCCACTGGGGCAACCGCCCCTCTGCTACTAGATGGCTGGCTACCTTCTCTATGCTCACAAATTCAGACACGGAGGAGCTGGAGACGGAGAGCAAGGAAAGGGGGAAAAAGAGAGGAGAAACGGCAAGAACAAGGGAGAGAGTGAGGGGGGGTGGCAGTGGGAAGGAACAGCAGCACGGAATGAGTTCCAAGGAGCCCCTCCGTCCTTGCTCATGCCGTACGCCGTGTGCACGCGCTCCTGCGCCAGCCCCTGCGGCAGCCTTCCTTCCGATACCATGTGGCTCGTCACCTTCTCTATGCTCACGAACTCAGACACCGAGGAGCTGGCGACAGGGGGTGGGGGTGGGCCGAGTGAGGGGGTTGAAGGGGGGAAGTGCATGTTCACGCTTGGGCCAGCAGCACACCTTCCCCGTGCTACGAGCCTTTCCTTAAAATGCTTCTAGCAGACCAAGTGGGACTTACCCGAACTTGGGACTCGACTGACCCGAGCTTGGGATGGGACTCACCCGAACTTGGAGTTGGCGTAGATCTCGTCTGACAGCACGTGCAGCTCGTGGTTGATGGCCCATAGCAAGAGCTCCTGCACGCATGGTCGCATGGTCGCATGGTCGCATGGTGTGGTGGTGGACATGGGACACGCTGCTCAATATGCATGCATAGTTGGCATGATGCATGCATGGTTGGCATGATGCATGCATAGTTGGCATGATGCATGCATAGTTGGCATGATGCATGCATAGTTGGCATGATGCATGCATGGTTGGCATGATGCATGCATGGTTGGCATGATGCATGCATAGTTGGTATGATGCATGCATAGTTGGCATGATGCATGCATAGTTGGCATGATGCATGCATAGTTGGCATGATGCATGCATAGTTGGCATGATGCATGCATAGTTGGCATGATGCATGCATGGTTGGCATGATGCATGCATAGTTGGCATGATGCATGCATAGTTGGCATGATGCATGCATAGTTGGCATGATGCATGCATGGTTGGCATGATGCATGCATGGTTGGCATGATGCATGCATGGTTCCAACGACATCATGCCAAAGACTCACCTTGCGAGTGGCTTCAGGGTAGAGCGTGCCGAGGGGGGTGCCCGGGTTGGTGAGCAGCAGCGTCTTGAGGCGCCTCAGAAGTCGAACCCCAAAGAGCTTTTCAGCAGCCTTCCCTCACCTTGAGAGCGGCCTCGGGGTACAGAGTGCCGAGGGAGTTGCCCGGGTTGGTGGTTAGCAGCGGGGAGCAGGTTCTTGAGGCGCCTCAGTGTTGACTCTTCTGGGGCCCTTCACCAACTCTCGAGCTCACCTTGGGAGTGGCTAGGGGGTACAGGGTGCTGAGAGGGTTGCCCGGGTAGGTGGGCTTACAGCAGCGTCTTGAGCTGCCTCAGTTGGATATCGTACAGCCCCTTGACAGCCCTCACCTTGAGAGTGGCCTCGGGGTACAGGGTGCCAAGAGGGTTGCCCGGGTTGGTGAGCAGCAGCACGCGTGGGCGAATGCCCTTGGCCTGGGCGGCGGTGAACGCCTCCTCCATCTCCACCGTCGTCGGGATGTAGCTGCGCGTGTCCCGCGGCTGGATGGGGATGGGAATCACCTCGTTCTGAGGTTGAAGGGAGGGAGGGGCATGAGAGGGCAGGAGGGTGGCACAGGGACGGATAGGGTTGGGGATAGGGGGGGGATTGGGGGGGAGGCTTCCTCCATCTCCACCCTCGTGGGGATGCAGCTGCGCATGTCCCGCGGCTGGATGGGGATGGGGGTCACCTCGTTCTGAGGGGCATGAGAGGGCAGGGGGGCGGCAAAGGGACGGATAAGGTTGGGGAGGGGGAAGGAGGCTTCTTCCATCTCCACCAGTGAGTCGGGATGCAGCTGCGCGTGTCCTGCGGCTGGATGGGGATGGGGATCACCTCGTTCTGGCGTGCAGGCAGGGAGGGAAATGGGGGGGTCTATTTTTGAGGCGCCTCAAAAATAGACTCCTCAGGCGTGCAAGCAGGGAGGGGTATGGGGGGCACAAAGGGAAGAAAGGGAAGGCGAGGTTGGGGGAGGGGGAAACATTGAAGGCGTCTTCCATCTCCACCGTCGTGGGAATGCAGCTGCGCGTGTCCCGCCGCTGGATGGGGATGGGGATCACCTCGTTCTGGGTGTGCGGAGAGCCATGGAGAGGCCCTCATGAGAGGGCAGGAGGGCGGCAAAGGGAAGGAGATGTGAAGGCAGGGAGAAGGTGAAGAGGGTGGAGAGGGTGGAGAGGGTGAAGAGGGTGGAGAGGGTGGAGAGGGTGGAGAGGGTGAAGAGGGTGGAGAGGGTGAAGAGGGTGGGCGGGAAGGGGGCCCCATGCTATAGCCTTCGGCCTTCAAACTCTATAGTAAGGCCGTTTGAACTCTATTGAAGAGGGCTACCACTGCGTATTGAAGAGGGCGGAGGAGGCGGGGGGGATGGGGGGTGGGGGTGGGGGTGGGGAGGGGGGCGGACAGGGAAGGGAAGTGCGTGATGGGAGATTGGATGAGGAAGCCATGATCCATGATCCATGGTACGAGGGGAATAAGTATAAGACCGAGACAATGCCAACGCTGAGGTGCTCAGGAGCTATTGGAGGCCGCAGTACGCAGTGGCCGGTTGGGGGAGGGTGAAGAGGGTGGGTAGGGTCCCCATGGTAAGGCCGTTTGAATCCCAAGGCAAAGACCTTGAAACCCCAATGTATGAATCTCGTGGGATACTTCATGGTCCTGCTGTCAATGCTGCCATGCTGTCAATGCTGCCATGCCGTCAATGCTGCCATGCTGTCAATGCTGCCATGCCGTCAATGCTGCCATGCCGTCAATGCTGCCATGCGGTCAATGCTGCCATGCCGTCAATGTCATACCAAATGCTCACGCCCCACCTTCATGCTCACGCCCTCCCCTCATGCTCTTGACTCACCCTGATGCTCATGTCATTGTCAAAGGCTGGGAAATAGGGCGCCGGGATGAAGCAGCCCTCGCCGGCGCTGCAGGTGGCGAAGAAAAACAGGTCCAACACGCTGCGAGGGGAGTGGGGGGGAGGGAGGGGGAAGGCAGGCGGATGGGAGATGGGATGGGTTTATACGCGTGGCCATGAAGCAGCCCTCGCTGGCGCTGAAGGTGGCAAAGACGAAGAGGTCCAAGGCACTGGATGGGGAGAGGAAAAGGGGGGGAGGAGGGAGCAGGGGGAGGGGGGGGAGGAGGGAGGAGGGGGAAGGGGGGAGGAGGGAGCAGGGGGAGGGGGGGAGGAGGGAGCAGGGGGAGGGGGTGGAGGAGGGAGCAGGGGGAGGGGGGGGAGGAGGGAGCAGGGGGAGGGGGGGGAGGAAGGAGCAGGGGGAGGGGGGGAGGAGGGAGCAGGGGGAGGGGGGGGAGGAGGGAGCAGGGGGAGGGACTGATGGATGGGTGGAGGGATGGCAGGAGAGGGAGTAGGTGGTGATGGGAGAGGGGAGGGCATGGGACAAAGCAGCCGTCCGTGGCACTGTAGGTGCGAAGTAGAAGGTCAACAACACACTAGGGGGAAAAGCGAATGGGAGGGGAACGGGAGGGTATTTGCTGTGCTGCTTCAGCGGTCCAGCAAGCGCCCATTTGGCTCCCAAGGCATGCGAGCTGAGACCCCTCTGGTGATGCCGATGCTGAGACCCTAAACCCTCTGAGACCCCTCTGCTGTCCTTGTTTTGAGCCACCTGCCCTGTAACACTCGTGCGTGAACACCACTCCAAGACTCACACGGCAGTAATTCCACTGTAACACTGCGATAACCCCACTGCAACACTCGTATGGTGACCCCACTGTACTTCTCACACAGCGACCTTATTGGAGACGCAAGTGTGCATTTTGTTGCCTGCAAGTTGTAACCCACACATGGTAACCCCACCGTAACATTCACACGGTGACCCCACTTGAGATGCTATGGTCTGTAACACTCTCACAATAGCCCACTGTAACACTCATGTGGTAACCCCATGTACCACTCACGCGGTGACCCCACTGGAGATGCAGATGTGCAGGGGGCCCACCTCCACGCCCATGAACGCCCTTTGCATCATCTTGGCGATCGCCTGCCCCCCCCCTTGAAGTTGGCGTACAGTACGGTCTGCATGCAACAACCATGTGGTAACCCCATGTACCACTCACACGGTGACCCCGCGGGAGATGCAGATGTGCAGGGTTTCGACCTCGACGCCCATGAATGCCCTCTGCATCATCTTGGCGATCGCCTGCCCCCCAAGTTGCTGTGAGCCCTTTGGTCTGTACCGATCTGCATGATGCCATGCGTGCATCATGCCAACCCCAGCGTCACAGTCGCGCAGTAACCCTAGAGTCCCAACTCACGCGGTGACCCCGCTGGAGATGCAGATGTGCAGGGGTTCGACCTCAACGCCCATGAAGGTGCGCTGCATCATTTTGGCAATGGCCTGCCGCAGCCGCTGCCCGCCCCTGAAGTTGCCGTACAGCCCTATGGTCTGCGGCACCTCCCTGCAGCTCCTGCCAGCCACAAGGCACGGAAAAGGACAAACGAAGCCAGCCAGATATGAGTAGAGGGGAAAAGATGTTAGGGAACGGAAATGGGGAGGTGCTGCGGCCCTAAGGTCTGGGGGCCTCCCTGCTGCTTCTGCGAACCACAAACCATTACGACAGGCCAAGCACAGCCAAACCGAGAGAAGCAGATGGAAAGAACTTTTTGGCAAGGGAGTGTGGATGAGAGGCTCTGTTATTTTGTTGGATAAAAGGGTTTTGGCCATCCCCCTCACGAGTGGAATAGTTGTTGGGTGGCTTGAAGCGGGCACGAAGGTGCTGAAGTGTGAAACAACCATCATGGTCAAGTCCCGAAACGGGAGAGAGAGAATACAGCGAGAGCCGAAAGCATCAGGACTACATCACGAGGCCTCCTTACTTGATCTTTTCGTGAATCAGGTCGAAAGTAAGGATAGTTTCTGCCTGCGCCATCTGAAAAGGACAGAAAACGCAGAGGGGATTGAAAACATTTAATATGACATTGACTGCTCGAGCGGGTTGCTTAACCCACGAACTAAAAAGTACCCGTCGGGCGTTTTTCTCCGAGTACGGCTCCTCCTCGGCCTTGTTGACCGCGGGGGTGCACGGCGAGAACGGCACCAGCGCGTCTGATCCTCACGTGCCTCCTCTCTCTCTAGGAAAAGCAAAACATCTCTCTAGGAAAAGCAAAACATCTCTCTAGGAAAAGCAAAACATCTCTTTAGGAAAAGCAAAACATCTCTCTAGGAAAATAAAAACATCTCTCTAGGAAAAGCAAAACATCTCTTTAGGAAAAGCAAAACATCTCTCTAGGAAAAGCAAAACATCTCTCTAGGAAAAGCAAAACATCTCTCTAGGAAAATCTCCTCTCGAATGACCCCATTCCGGTTTCACCCACCAGGAAGTATCCATCCGGCGTTTTCTCCGCGTACGGCTCCTCCTTGGCCTCGTTCACCGCGTTGATGTACGGCGAGAGCGGCACCAGCGCGTCTGATTCTGAGGCGACTCAGACGCAAAACATCATCTCGCAGAATCGCCCTTCAATCTACACCCACCAGGAAGTATCCATCTGGCGTTTTCTCCGAGTACGGCTCCTCCTTGGCCTTGTTCACTGCGTTGATGTACGGCGAGAACGGCACCAGCGCGCGAGCTCCCCGCGACGACAGGCTCGTCTTTCTCACCGCCGTGCCCTGCGCACCCTCTTTGCCTCCTGCTCCCGCCGCTACCCCCCCGTCCGCCTTGCTGTCGACCACCTCATCGCCTGGCAGCTCCCCTGGGACGGGACACTCCACCGACATCGCTTCCGCTGGTGCTTCTGGTTACCAACGACTGGTTACTACAGGCGTTTGAAGCCCTACGAAGTATTCGCAGCCTGACGGCCACGCTACTATGACCTTCGAGATGCGACCAGCCTACATCCCCAGATTCGACCGGGCTACTCTATTTACCAGAGGTAACGAGGCTCTTCGACCAACTGTCTGAAACGAAGCCTAGAGGTGGGCTGCAGGCTGCAGCTCAGAATTCCGACTTGTGGGTGCGACTGACAAGAGGACGCTTGAATTTGCGAAATGCCCATCCCGATCCCAGAGCGACCTCGATTTCCCCGCCATCCCTTGGGTTTGGAACTGTCCTGATTCAGCGTATCGGACGCCTCCAGGAAAGTGTCTGGCTGGGAGCTGGACCTGTGAGCTGGAGGGTTTATCGGCATGTAACTACACGTGATAAGTGTACCTTGAAACTCCTTGAGTTGCATTTTGCATTTTCGCTCATTTTATTTTTGTGGGACGCTTAGCTCGTGTCTCCATTCAAATCTTCCATTTTGTAATCGTCTAAAAATAGTCACGGATGTTGACAGAAACACCAATCTGTGCCAGTTAAAGCTTGCAAAGAATTCTGTATACTCTAAATGGAAGTATTCAAATGCACATTACATAGTGTTGGTTTTTTTGCTCGGTATGTGTGTTATGTAGATGATTACTAGGGGTAGCATTATTGGTCCACCGACTTGTCGTACGAGCGTCGCCAAAGCTCCGAATTCCCGCCGAGATTTTTTCGCCGTTCTACAGAATTCTTCGCCAGGCTTCTTGCTCCGTCGCCGCAAATCCCAAGGAGACCTCATCATCCCGAATCCTGGGCACAGAGCACACAGCCTTGCCGCACTGCCAGCCACAAGACTTCCTCCTGATCGCACAGGAGAAGTCACTCCCTCGGACCAGCCATCAGCCACACACAACCATCCGTCAGTCATTTATCTGGTCAGTCAGTCACACCTATCTATTCTGGCCAGTCAGCCACCAATCCATCTGGTCCGATCACAGCCGCAAGCGCCGCTCGCTCTATTCTTGTTGAGCGAGTATCTGTTCAGACCGGTCGACGTCTGTTCGCTGGTTCATGATCCGCTCGCGTGCCGTCCAAAGGCTCCTCGGGTCTTCTCTTTCGCACCGTTTTCACGTCGCACGTCCTTGCGCTGGTGCCTCTGCTCCGGGACGTGTTGAGAGTGAAGACCAATTTCCCTCGGTTAGTGCTGAAGCCTCTGTCCAGTCTTCCGGCTCTCAGAGTTACCCCATTGTTCGATGTAATCCGTAGAACCTTAGATTACAACTAATTTGATGTTTTCTATTAAAATGATATAAGTGGATGGAAGATGCTCTAGTCGGGGCGTACCAGCTGTGGAAACGCACAGCTCTGCGAAGAACTGCATCTTCTTATCAAACTTTCGGCTTCGCAAACTTTCGCGCGATTGATGCGATCTCGCTGTTCTCTGCTCGGTAGGTCATACGCTGCATTGGACTTTAATAAGGACCTCTCGTTATAAGACGTCTTAAACTGCTCGTTTCTGGAGGCCTTCCTTTCCTCGCATCCACTTCCCTCACTCCCCTCACATATTCTCTCCTCTCTTCGCCTACATTCGGGTGCGCACCCTTGCGCGAGGCTGGTACGGTCACGCCGTTCTCTACTCGGTAGGTCATACGCTGCATTTCTCGTCAATGCTGGGCCTTTCCACGAAGGCATGATGTATTTTGAGTCAACTCAATATCCACCAAGGCATTCCTTTCCCCGCATTCCCTTCCCTCACTCCCTTCCCTCACTCCCTTCCCTCACTCCCTTCCCTCACTCCCTTCCCTTCACATCCTGCGACCACCTGCGCCTTTCGCCGCACGCTCGCATACTCCCCCTCATGCCACCACACGACACGCTCACCAGAACAGCAGCAGCGTCACACCGCACCGCGCGACCAGCGTCGCAGCAAAGACCAGCAGCACGCCTGCCAAGAGCAGCAGCAGCAGCAGCAGCGGCGGCGGCGGCAGCAGCAGCATCACTCTTATCAAGTGCCACAGCAGAGTGACTGCAGGCGCCATGGATCGCGAGCGGTTCCTGGGCGTGTTCAGGCAGCTCAAGGCGGAGATCCTGGCGGAAGACAAGCTGTTCGCGTGCACGCCGGACTCCAAGGCGTGGGTGGAGAAGGTGCGTGCAGGATACTGCAGGTACGGTTAGAACGCTAGGAGGTGCATGCAGTATAGCGTACAGGCTGCACGCAGCTCAAGGAGGATATCCTGGCAGAGGACAAGCTGTCCGCGTGCACGCCATGCCAGACTCCAAGGCGTGGGTGGAGAAGGTACGTGCGGGTACTGCTAGGCTAAGCTAGTACGCAGTATAGGGGGGAAGCCGCATACGGTACCGGCAGCTCAAAGCGAAGACCTCGCATGAGGGCAAGCTGCTTGCATGCACGCCGGAGTCCGGAGTCCAAGGCGTGGGCCAACAAGGTCTGTGAAGGACAAGGTGTGTGAAGGACAATGTTCGTAGCAGTAAAGTGCACGTGTGCTGACTGAGGTTCCAGCAGACTTTTGAGTGGAGTTGAAAGTCACCATGAATGAAACGAAGAGCAATGTTCGAAGCAGCAGTACATAGTGTACGAGCTGAACGAGGCTCCACCGGCTTGAGGCGGAGCTTCTGGCCGAAGATTCACCGTTCTCGTTCATAGCAGAATCAAAGTCTTGGGTAAAAGTAGGATGAGACAGATAGTGCGGGTCCTGGGGCTCGTTACAGTGCGGGTACGGGACACGTGCTATGAGGTGCACGTAGGGCTAGCATGAATTATGTGCCATCAAACACATCATGCCACGTACCAGCTCACTCTCATTTTACTCACCAGTTCGCGGCTTCCTCTCCATCCATATCCCCCCCCACACCTCCATGTACTCGCTACTGTGCTCTCCGATTCCCGCTTTCGTGTGCTGCCATCAGAACATTGACCACAATGTACCAGGAGGTACGCTGTCCACCTCTCACACCCCAAAACGCTGTCTTTTCCCTGGTGCACGTTGCTCAAAGTGCACGAATCCTACTTTGCACGAATCCCACTGCTCGAATCAGTGCACCAATGCTCGTTGCTCTTTGCTCAAGGTGGCATGGAGGATGGGCGGTGCAGCAAGCACTCAGCCGCCTCAGCCAGCGCACCCTGCCCATCTGTGCATGTCTTCACATTCCCTTGCGCTCTCTCAGTCCCCTCCACCATAACCTTCCTTCCATCCATCCCCTGCCTCCCCACTTCTCCTAGAATTTCTCCCCTGTGTGCCTCTAACTCCTCCTATGTCTTCCCCAAACCCAACCCCTCCCCCACGACTTTCCCATGCACCATGTGACCAGGCAAGCTTAACCGCAGGCTGTCAATGGTGGATATGGTCGGCATCCTCAAGGGCGGCATTGCCCCTCCCCTGTGTGTCTTGAACCCTCCTTGCCCTTCTCTTATGTCGTTGGACCCCCCCTCTTTCCCTCATGCATCAGGCAAGCTGAACTGAGGGCTGCCAATGGTGGATGTGGAGGGAGCATCCTCCAGGGAAGCATTGACCCCTCCCCCCCCCCTTCTCCTCCCCCTGTGTGCCTTGAACCCTCCCTGCCCTTCTCTCGTGCCCCGGGCCCCCCCTCTTCCCCCCACCCCTCTCTCTCTCCGCCCCCCCCCCAGGCAAGCTGAACCGCGGGCTGTCAGTGGTGGACACAGTGGGCATTCTCAAGGGCGGCTTCGATAAGCTATCGGACGATGAGGTCTTCCAGGCCAGCGCTGTCGGCTGGTGCATCGAATGGGTACGAGTTAGAGGTTTCGGGTTTCAAAGCAGATGAATGCATTGAGTGGGTACGAGTTAGAGGTTTCGGGTTCCAAGCAGATGAATGCATTGAGTGGGTACGAGTTAGAGGTTTCGGGTTCCAAGCAGATGTATGCATTGAGTGGGTACGAGTTAGAGGTTTCGAGTTTCAAAGCAGATGAATGCATTGAGTGGGTACGAGTTAGAGGTTTCGGGTTCCAAGCAGATGAATGCATTGAGTGGGTACGAGTTAGAGGTTTCGGGTTCCAAGCAGATGAATGCATCGAGTGGGTACGAGTTAGAGGTTCCGAGTTTCAAAGCAGATGAAAAAAGGGAAGATGGATGGGTATGCCTTGTGCGTTTGATGGGTACGGCGCTTCACATGACATGCATGCACTGCTAGTACAAATGACTGCTTCTTCTCCTACACTACACCTACCCTCTTCACCATACACATGGATCACTCCTCCCTCCCATGCCACCCTGTCCTCTCCCCCGTGCCACCCTGTCCTCTCCCCCGTGCCACCCTGTCCTCTCCCCCGTGCCACCCTGTCCTCTCCTCTGTGCCACCCTGTCCTCTCCCCCGTGCCACCCTGTCCTCTCCCCCGTGCCACCCTGTCCTCTCCCTTGTGCCACCCTGTCCTCTCCCCCGTGCCACCCTGTCCTCTCCCCCGTGCCACCCTGTTCTCTCCCCCGTGCCACCCTGTCCTCTCCCTTGTGCCACCCTGTCCTCTCCTCTCCCCCATTCCACCCTTCCGCTCCCCCTCTACGTCGCTCAAAATAGCAGTGGCAGGGCTACGTCCTTGTCATTGTCGACATCATGGACAGCTTTCCTCAATGCCTCTTCTCTCCCCCGTGCCTTTCCCTCTCCACTCCCTTCTCCCTCTCTCAATTGGCCCTTCTGTCTCCCCTGCAGCTGCAGGGCTACTTCCTGGTGATCGACGACATCATGGACAGCTCCATCACCCGCAGAGGCCAGCCCTGCTGGTACCGCATCGATAAGGTGCACTGCGGGATGTGATCTGGTTCTGCTGGGCTGCTGTGCTGTGGGCTTTGTAATCCGTGTGCTGTATGCTGTGGGTTGTGTGTTGTGTGCATCGCCCAAAGAATTTCTGTGTGGCGCTTTGTGTACGCGAGTTGAATATACACTCACTGGCCCGTGGCACAATCGTTGATGCAAGACTTGTCAGGCTCACTCTTCTGCATGAACCATGTACACATCCGTGTGTCTATGCACACATAGATGCGTCTCTTCATGCTTCTATGCACACATGCCCGCACCAATGGCTGCATTCTCCACAGGTGGGCATGATCGCCATCAGCAATGCCGTGTTGCTCATGCTTTGAGGCGCCTCATAGCATACGTATGCATGCGGTCATGTATTCACCCGTCCCTCTTACCATGCATCCATGCACCCATTCACGGATGCACCAATGTACCCATGCACCCACCCATGCGCCCCCATGCCTCCATGCACCCATGCATCCATGCACCGATGCACCGATGTACCCATGCACCCATGCACCCATGCCTACAGGTGGGCATGATCGCCATCAACGATGCCGTGTTGCTCAACGCCCACATCTTCCTCATTCTCCGCCGCCACTTCTCCTCCCACCCCGCCTACACACGCCTGCTTGACCTATTCAACGAGGTACACGCCATGACCTTTTCACCCTTTACAAGGCACGACTTCCTTCCTTCCCTCGCCCCTTCCCCCCCCAGCCCTTCCTTCCCCCCCCAGCCCTTCCTTCCCCCCCCAGCCCTTCCTTCCCCGCCACCCCCCCCTGGTTCTTGACACGGAGATCACTCTGCCCTCTTTCTCTGGGAAGATACAGGCATGCTCATATCATCGTACTCATCACCACTCCTACCACATTTTCCTCCCCCTCTTCTCCCCCTCTTCTCCCCCTCTTCTCCCCTCTTCTCCCCCTCTTCTCCCCTTCTTCTCCCCCTCTTCCCCCCTCTTCTCCCCCTCTTCTCCCCTGCCTTTCTACCCCTCTTCCCCCCACTTCTCCTTCGCTCCTACCTCTCCTCCCTCTTCCCCAGGTGACGTACCAGACGGCCTGTGGGCAGATGCTAGACCTCATCACCACCCCCGAGGGGGAGGTGGACCTCAACAAATACACCATGTCCACGTGGGTAAACCGTGGCAATACACCATGACCACGTGGGTATACTGTGGCATACACCATGTCCACGTGGGGTATACCATTGGATTACACCATCTCTACAAGGGTATCTTATTGGAGTAAGCCATGCCCATCCCCATGCTCTATAACCAGGGAGTTGCGGTTTTCAGAACACATGCATGCATCCACACACATACATGCTGGGAATGCGCTCCACATTGGTTTGTTGCATGCAAAGCTGCCCCGCCCGTCCGACCGTCATTCCTCTACTCCACCCGACACTCCCTCCTACTCCCCCCCCCCCCACACTTCCTGTCCACATCCCTCTACCGCCCTTTCGGCTTTCTCCCCCCTCTTGCCCATTCGCCTAACTCCTTTCACTCCCTCGCCCTGGCAGGTACCTTAAGATCGTGCAGTACAAGACAGCCTATTACTCCTTCTACCTCCCTGTAAGTTTGTCCCACACCCTGCACTCGCACGCACTTCATCTTTTACACATCGACCCTCTGTTTTTGAGGCGCCAAAAAAAAAGCACTCGCACACACACTTCATCTTTCAAAAGTCAACTCTCAGATTGTAGCTTCAACTACATCGGAGCGTCTTTCATTGCCTCTCGGCTAATCCTGCTAATCCTGCTATGCTTCCTCTCTCCATCGCTGCTGCGACGTCGAATGCACCCAAAGGGTCCAGTTGCCACTTAGTCCCATGCGCACTCTACCGTGTGGATGTGCTCTCTTCTCTTCCCTCCTAGGTGGTGTGTGTTGTGATCTCGGCGGGCCATGGAGAATGCAGCGCAAGCCAAGAGTACCCTGCCTGTTCGCACAACCAGGGTGTTGCATCTACCACCCAATCTCGCATTTCTTCTTCCCGGATCTCCGTCCTCCCGGGTGCCGTGCGTGTGCCTTGCTCCTGTCCGGCGTGGAACACGCAGCACTGGCTGCAGCGGCCAGGCCAAGGACACCCTGCTTGTTCCCCTAACCAGCGTGTTTGTGGCGAACACTCCCTCGTAGCTCTTCACTCCCCAGGTGGCGTGTGCGCTCATGCTAGCGGGCGGTGAAGATGCAGCGCTGCCAGTGCAGGCCAGGAACGGACCAGGAACAGCCTGCCCGTTTCCCTAGCCAGAGTGCTGTGGCTAGATAAACCCTCGCTCCTCCCTCTTCATGTTCCCTCACCTCACGTCGCCCCCAGGTGGCGTGTGCGCTGATGCTAGCGGGCGTTGAAGATGCAGCGCTGGCCGCGCAGGCGAAGGACATCCTGGTGCAGATGGGGACGTACTTCCAGGTGCAGGACGACGTGCTCGACTGCTACGGCGACCCCGCTGTCATCGGCAAAGTGAGAGACACCATGAGGCAGGTGGAGTGTGCGTACAGTTCTTGAAGTTTGGGTGTAGGGCTGGAGAGGCAGCTGAGATGGGGGACCTACTTTTTAGAGCCGGACGACGTGCTTGACTACTACGGCGTCCCTGCTGTCATTGGAAAGGCGGGGCATGTGGGCAATCTGTTAGCACATGGAGGCAAGGTGGGCTCAAGGCTTCGAGTTGGGTGAAGGGATGGCTGAGATGGGGACCTACTTGCGAGTGCAGGACGATGTGTTGCGCTGCTATGGCGACCCTGCTGTCATTGGCAAGGTGAGAGACATGGGGCATGTGCTTGGCGTAGGGCTTAAAGTTTGGGGTGTCGGGCAGGAGAGTCGGGGCTGACATGGGGACGTACTTGCAAATACAGGACCATGGACTGCTATGGCGACCCTGCTGTCACCAGCAAGGTGAGACCCATGCAGTTTAGGGTTCAGGGCTGGCGATTTCGGGACCCATGCAGTTCGACATGCTCGACTGCTAGCTGCACGCTCCCATGCACCGTACCTCCCATTCTCATCCCCCTCTACCAAGTGGGCACGAACATCTAGAACGTCTAGGACGTCTGGGACACCAAGTGCTTGTGGCTGCTGGTGCATGCCTTGAGGCGTCACCCTTCCTTGCTACCAGATGGCTCCCATGCACCTTTCCTCTACTCCTATAACCCCATTTGCTTTTCTCAGGTGGGCACGGACATAGAGGACACCAAGTGCTCGTGGCTGGTGGTGACGGCCCTGCAGCAGGCATCAGAGGAGCAACGGCAGATCATAGAGGTCAGTCACGCCTTGCTGTGACTCCGTGTTGGTGGCTCGGGTGGGGTGCGCACAGGTGTCATCAGCAGTCACCAGGTGATCACCAGTTGTTATCACGTCACCCTCCCTGCCTGTCCACCTCACTCGCCACCATCTCTCCCTCTCTGCTCACTCCCTGCCTCTCCCTTGCATAAAGAGCAACTATGGCACTTCAAACCCGCCTCCTCCTCGCCCTCCCTGCCTTGAACGCAGAGCAACTATGGCATCTCAAAACGCCCCCATTTTCCCCTGCTTGTCCCTTGCACGCAGAGCAACTACGGCAAGAAGGACGAGAAATGTGTGGCGGCCATTAAGCAGCTCTACACGCACATGAAGCTGCAGGTGGGGTCTGGTGCAGGTGGGCTCTGGTGCAGGTGGGATCTGGTGCTGGTGGGATCTGGTGCACGTATGCATGCCGCCACATGTGGCCTCAATTGCAGCTGGGTGTGTAAGTGCTTAGCTAAAAGCGCTTGACCGCAGCAATGGGCCGTCTTGACCGCATGCTCTTGGGAGGGGAGCAAGGCTCCAAGGCCCCACCCAGTCTCCCTGCCCCAACACGGCCTCGCTCCCAAGGGCTCCTCTCTAAATGAGAGTGCCCCTTTGAGTGCCGGCCTGCATGCAATACCAACGGGCTCTAGTCCATCTGTGCGTTATGCGAGCCCGCCACTCATCAAGAATTGGCTGGCTCGCTGCACTGCATAGGCTGTGTGAGCCGTGCCGTGGTTATGGGCATGCCAGACTGCTGGTGGCCTGACAGCGTTGCCCGCCTGAGAGGGACTCGCCTGCAAGGCGATTGCCCTGAAGGTGCCGGCGTTGCTGTTCAGCCAGCACTGATTTCTGGTGTGTTAGTTGCCGTGGTGACATGTGGCTGCTTCTCTAGCCCGCCCTGTTTTTAAGGCACCTCAAAAGTAGACGCTTTTAGCCCTCATCATCTCCATGCCCCACACGTACGGTCCGACGACACTGGCACCTCTTTCACCGCCTTGTCCCAACGTGTTCAAACGGCTTGAATCAAACCCTGCATGGGTACGCTGTGCAAGAAGGGACGTGGCAATTCCTCCAGGACCACAAAGGTCCAGAAATTGGCTCTCCTGCTAGGCACACTGCTTTAGCTGACAGTGCTCGTGCTGTGGAACGTGCTGTGCACAGCACGAGCGTGCAACCACGGCTGGGTGGTGCATGATGTGCTG